CTTGTGAAAACGGATGTTCAATCAAACAGCCAGCCCAAATGACAATTGCCGCAGGCAAGTAAGGCTTGCCGCAATTCATCAGTGTACCCTCAAAAGAAGAATGGTTAGAATAGGCTGCCCAAAAAGGACATAGATGAACAAAAGCGAGAAACTTATGCCTTATGGCATCGGATTCCTAAAGCTTGGCCTGGCATCCAAACAATAAAACATGTCTTTCACCAACAGGGACCCACTGGCAATGGAACACCCCCCAAACCTGCAAAAAGTGGCTCCCACCATACCAGTTTTGGAAGATTGCACCATACCAGTGACCACCTGTTCCAACGCGTCCCACTGACCAGCTCTGGTGCCTCTAGTGCAGGCCGCTGTCGGGAGAGCCACCCAGGCTTTGAAAGCCTCAGGCGGTCGCCCTGCTGTGGGTTTTGGGGGGGTCCACCTCGGATATTGACCGATCGGGCCAGGGGTGGTCAATGTAAATATGCCACTAGGAACAAGGTTCGCTACAATGGGGATGGGTCAAAACTTGGATCCCCAACCCCATCTAGTTTGACCTTTCAGGTAATTCATGTTTGCCTACCATGGTGTATAGTGGTTCTTTCAGGTAGATACTAGACCACACTGCCAGGTACCCACCCTATGGTGAAGGGCCCTTGGGAAGCGCAGCATCTGGAGCGCAAGTCACGTCGGTAGGTCAACCAAGGTATGATGGCCATATCCTGGCGAATCTTCACGGGAAGGAGTCTAATATCATAAGGGAGAACATGAATCCCAACCACATCCAGTGACCCATCACGGGATGCCATGTAGGACATCATATCTTTACCGTATACATCTGTATGGGGCTCATTGAACAGGCTTGAACATGGTAACATCCGGGGTTCAAACAATTGATCCGTCCAGTCCCATGGAGGCTTTCGGAAGTCTTCAGGTCCCAGACATTGCTCCGTTCGTAGCGATGCCAGGAGCCCCTAGGTTATGCAGGGTTGACACTTGGTGGGCCATGGATCATATATTCTGCTTTGAGTTGACTTGGTCAGTTGACTTTTGGGACAAAGGAACGTAACAGTGACTCGACCGCTCTTTTTGCCGCTTTCACGTTCCGACTGGACCTTCGTCCCTTCCGTTTACCACCCGGCCGGCCGCATGGGCGGGGGGGTACGGCGCGTGAGGCGGCGGGTGAGGATAGCCCCAAGGCATGTGATGCGGAGGCGGTGGATCCCATCCTGAGGCCGCGGAGATGACCAAAACATCAGAAAAACGGTTTATACCGTACCTTCACAGAGTGGTGAATTCTGATCTCTTTTTGAGGTTCACACCAAGGCACATCAGAAAGAGAACAAAAGAAAACAACAAGGTCATCCTGCAAACACAAACAACAGATACAAAAAGGGGGTCACACACAAGGACAGCTCGGTATAGAGGTCGTGGAGGAAAACGGATCCTTAAAAGAATCGGGTCATTCTGAATCATTCTGAGAAGCAACATATCACCGTGTAAATCCATGTCCACTGTCCACTGTCCACTAGGGTTGCAACGGAGTTCCAACTGAACACATTGATTTATCCACAATGGATCCTTGAAAAACCAACTCCAAACACAGCGGGTCCCAGTTGCTAAACCAAAATCACAGCAAGCCTTCTAAAACTGTACAGCAAATCTTCTAATCCTTGGTTTGAGAAAAACACGTACTGCAAAACTTCTAAGACTCCAAACACAGTGGGGTCAGAGTTGGACAAGACCACAAAAAATCAACTATCAAATCAATATGTATTCATGACCAGAACAAAGAAACGGAAAGACCTCCTCCTCCTCAGAACACCCTGGCCCAAGCACAACCAAATTTATATGTTTTCCACCTCTCCCAGCCATCCACCTCTCCCAGTCATCGTCCCTCAAATCCAAGGCTCCCGGAGGCGCCGGAGGCCAAGCCTCTTCTCTCCGATCCTCGTTCCGCCGGTCCTCCTCGCGCCGGTCCTCGCTGCGTCGCCGCTTCTCCCGGCGCGGCTTCCGCCGGCGGTTGTTCCGCGGCGTTCCGCTGCGCGAGCGGTTCCTGCGGCGAGATCGAGAAGACAGTTGGTTCAAGCATGTTCAAGCATTCCCCGCTACTAACAAGAAGCTATACTAGAGGCTGGCATCGCTACGAAGAGCAAGGACGCGAGTTTCCATGGTCTCTCAACGACAGTGCGGGGGGGGGCCATCCACCAACCCTGACCCTTGGATTTCTTTGACCATAATTGGAGGACGATCTATTTTCAATCTGACAAATAGTACTTTACATAATAGTATTAGCCATAGTATTCTGATTACTATATTTTGTCAATGAATAGTAATAGTAATTGTAATCTGATTACTATTTGAGTCCTTCTCTTTGGGCAAAATCTTGCCCTGAATCCCAACCTTCCAAGGCTGGCGGGCTCAAGCGAAGACTGGACACACCAAAAGCTTAAGCCCGCAGCTCCTGAAACCTTAGTGGCAAGAAGCTACTAGTAACAAGTCGCTAGCTAGTAACAAGAAGCTACTAGCCACCAGCTACTTGCTACTAGTAGTAATGCACTTGTTACTAATAGCGATGCACTTGTTACTCTGTGTTAAATGCGATTATGATACCAATCATTTCATGATCCCGTTGGCTTCCAATCATTCCTTGCTTGGCGATGTCAAACACCAAACAGGATGCAACGCAACAAAATCCTGGGAATATTCTCTCACCCCCTTTGTTGAAATTAACTCTTCACCCCCAAAAAGCAAGACCTCAGAATTCTTGACATAAGACTCCCATCCACCTCTCCCACTTCATCCCTCTGCTCCTCGATCTCGATCGACTTCGACTCTTAGATCGCGCCCTGCCCCCTCTGCGGCCATCCCGGCCGTCGCGGGCATCCGCTGGTGGGGGTGGCGGGCGCTTGCATTTTTGCCTCGGAGCTTTCGCGGCCACCAGTGGAGCATGTTGCAGAACATGCCTGTGAAAGGCTTCCTCTGGCATTGTTTTCCATGTACCACTGAGAAAATCTCAGTTCGGCAGACCCCAAAAACATCCCAAAAAACATAGCCCTGAAGAGGTAGCTGGACACAGTGGAAAGCAAACCTCGAAAAAAAAGGATGTTTTTGTGTCACTCACAACAGCAGGTGAGAAAGGAAGGGCACTGACCCAGGGCACGGCCCTCCGACCCTGTTCCGGGCACTTGGATCCGGCTTCCAACGAACGCAGTGCTCTGAGTGACCACACTCCCTCTGATCTGAGGGAGCCTGGGACCAAGCAATTTGGTTTTAGACTTTCTGGTTCATCAGTTTTGAAGGTGTTTTTTTTCGTTTCCGAAGCCCCAACAAGTTGCACCGTGGGAAAAAGGTTGCCTCCAAAAGTGGCCGAGGGAGTGTCCCATCCGCTGGTCAGGGGGAAAGGAATCGGATTTTGCACGGCGCTTTCACTGTAGATGTTGCCACACACAGGAGAGTGGATCCCAACAAACGCCATCTACTCAGATCATCCCCTGTAGCAAATAGGTCCTTTAGAGGCATAAGCATATCTATGTGTATATATTATATTACTGTATTATAACTGTATGCTTAACTGTATATAATTAGTTAGATATGTGTGTTAGAAGATAGGTCAAAAACGGGGATCCTTGAACCGCTCCGAGCTACACTTCGATCGCATCCGGAAGCTTTCCGGTCTCCAGGATGTCATCCACCGCTCGGCGGACCAGTTCCTTGCTGAGAGTGGCGTTCCGCGGCCGCATCCGTTGCGGAACGCGGCCGCAGATGTGTCATCTGGAGAACCGTTCGGTGTTGCCGAAGCTCTTTCACCGGGTGACCAGAACTGTGTGGCACTCTGCATGGCATATCTTGGTTGCCACTGGAAAAAAATTGGGTGATTTTGTCTCAAAAGCAGACGGAAGAGATGATCCCGACAGTTGTTTCAAGAAGAACACTGGAAACAAAGGAAGCCTTTAGTGGGTTTGGTTCCATATGTTGAGACATTGTGAGCCTGTGAACCTGCGAGCACCCAGTACCAATGTTGCTGTTAGATCCATAGACATCCAGGACCCTCCAAGAGGTCGCCAGTTAAGACCATTTTGGTGCCAACTCTCAAGACGTTCAAGAGGAGAAGAATGAAAAAACATGTATTTGAAGAGAGTATGAACTCAACTGATCGATTTGCTATACTAGGACCTTACTTGAGAAAAAACAGGCATAAAACGTGTTGCCAACCAACCCCCCTGCAAATGAACGTCTATATTTGAGCAACTGCTCTTCTTCGGTCTGCCCAGCTTCGGTCTGCTCTTGCGTCACGGTCTCGCCTTCGCCCGCCTTGGGCTTCACGATCAAGTGCAGTTGCTCCGTCTCCTTGGACCCAGGAGCACCCACGCCACGGAGCAAGAGCCGACAACTGGCCTGGCGTTGCGGGGTCCGGGGACGAGTTCCCGGGGACGAGTGTGACCCCCCATGGTTTAGGTCAAAGCACGGCCAAACATCAGGCATCCATTCAAGGTGTGTCTTTTTGTTGTTCGCTTTTTAAGTGAACATAGAAGGATTGAGAAACTGACTATATAGATTAAAGGCCCTGGGGAGATGTGAGTGTTGTTCATTTTAGGATGATTCATTTGATTCCATTTCTTTCCGCTGCGGTTTTCCGTGAGAACGTCCACGACGTTTCACGTGCGGAGGTTGCAAAAGCTCTGATGGAGAGTAGAGTGGAAGCTGAGGCGTTCGGGACGGAAGGAAGTCCCGGTTTCAGGACACCTCTCAGGTTTAGGGATCCAAGTACCTTCTCAGGTGATTGGAGACACGCTGATGTAGGTTTGGACTTGGATCCTTAGGGCACCGCTGTTGTTTGACCTAGCAATTTCTCAGATCTGGTTGTTCCAGCAAACCTTGGTTGCTGAACCCTCCACATCCCCTCCGGGGTTGCTGCGTCCATGATACAAATCGTGGGCAGGGGTTGCATTGAGAACTCAAGTCTCAGAGTGATCTACATGTCCGGCCGAACGATCTACATGTCTCAGTTGAATCAGCTAACTCACTCAAGGGGGAGCCTACTCCATCTCCTAAGGTTGGGACTACTCTGAATGCATCCACATCGGAAGAGAGGTCTGACATGATTGGCCGAAGAGAGCAATGAAGCTAGAACTGGCGCAAAGAGGAGGTTTGTCCTCAAACATGTTGCAGAATTTCAGGAAGTCAGCCACTGTAGACAACTATCAACACCCTGCAACAAAGGAAAGAAACCTTGAACCAAACGTACGCGACCTTGGTGGAAGCACGTTTGGACATGCAAAAACTTAACAAGGAGCATGAGGTGTGCAGCTACTCACTTTAGTTGTAATTGTGTCAGGGCTATACTTGGGCCATTTGGTTTCTACCCATCTAAGAACAAACCACGAAGCAACTCCAAGGAAAAACACAGAAAACGAATATACTACCCACATCCCTCCAAAATCAGCGTACAATCATCTAGGCTCCGTAGAGTAGGGTGTTGAATGCCACCCTACCAAAAAATTCACCGTATGCTGACCAAGCCAGAAACAACAACTCAAAAAGCTTAACGGGAACACTCAGTCTAGCTACCTTCATTTTGTGATTTTGTGTTCTTTCCGAGCAAAATCCCACTTTCATGGCCCACGTCTCCCGGTCGCGAACCTCTGTGGGCTGAAGAATCTCCCGGCGGTCTCGATCGTTTGGTGTGGGGCTCTTACGTCTGGACCGACTCTCTGGTTCGTTTTGGGGCGCCTTCTTCATGATGCCCCGTACATGAGAGGCCCCAGGGCCCAGAATCGCCAGCCAGGCTTTCTTCCGCTTCTCCTCATCAGTCTCTCCCTCGAACTTGTCGAAGGGCACGAAGACTCTCACCTGGGTGGTCAGGTTCGTTTGGGGGGGGCGGAATGGATGGGAATGATTCCTCCAAGTTTGTTGACCAGGGCTGGTTTCTGAGTATATATAGATGATACAAATTCCAAGAGATGAACGCTGAAAAACGATTGGCTACAGCATTCCCTCAGGATCCCTTAGGAGGACCGTCCAGAAGGTACGACTGGACCCTCCAACCATCCAAGAATACTTCGCTCAGGCGTGCCCAGTCCATCGAACTCTTCACTGGTCGAACAAACCTTTCTGACTCCAAGCATCTTCACAACCCAAACCTGCATCCTTCCGCTGCCAGAGTCTCGACCCCAAACACCGCTAGTTATATACATATATATATATATATATCACCTCGTCAGGCGCATCGACGTCCCTTGAACCCGCATTCGTCAGCGCTGGTCACCCTATCGCCCAGTCACCACCAGGTCTTTAGGATCCACCACCTTCTCTTTCTCCTCTTCACTCCGGGGATGTCGGATCTCGGATTGCGCATGCGCGTAGGGGCAGTCGTCCCCCCGCGGGCACGTCATATTCTTGAAGACCTGACGAGTCGAGGCGCGTCCGGCACGTCCGGCGCCCATGGCGCGCCGGAAGAAGCGCGCTATGTCACCCACTGAGAGTACAGGGTCACCTCCCAACCAATCGTGGGCAGGCCTGGCAGGTGTTCTTTGTTAGTAGTTACAACATGCCATTTTTGGTCTACCAAGTATCCAAACAAAGCAAGAACCCAAACCAACTTCACCATTCCACATCCAGGTCGTTCTTCCGAAGGTCAACGGAGTTTCTGGTCCTACCACCTTCCGGAAGTGCGGGATTACGAGTGGCCATCGCGTGTAGGATGGTCAATTCCCCATGGCAAAGGAAACCATTTCCAGCAGCTCCAACATGTCACCAATTGAAACCTGTTAGGGCCTAACAACCCTCCAAAGGAGACCTGTTGGTTTCGGTGCTGGTTTCTAGCAATTCCGCCTTCATCCGCTATGTCACGTGGCAGCCGCGCCTCATAACAAGGCCTCGTCTTGAAGCGCTCGGGCGCGCGGTGAAACTCGTCCACCTCCGGTGTGGTTGGCGCCTCGGTGTGGTGACAAAAAAACCAGGCAGAGGGCGAACGGGGTGTCCCTGTTGGACGCTTACATTACTTTTAACAGTTTGCACATAGTTCCAACCTCGCAAAGTAGCCAAACACAACTGATATATATATATATATATACTTATATATATACTGATATTGTTTATGTGTTTTGTGTTGTATTGGTTTGCTGATAACGATTCTCGAGGTGTGACACGTGATAGCAGGGATTGTGACTTTGTATATACTTTGTACTAACACTGATTGTTTCGTCCTACTTATTCTGTCTGATCTAGCTGAGCTTTACTACAACATGACCTTGACATGGACACTTTAAAAATGGAACATGACTGCCATGAAGCTGTGTTGTTGTACCAAAACAACGTGTGTTGGACGTGTACTCTCCAAGCCTAAAGTAGTCAACTCACAAACCTGTTTGGAGGTTATATTAACTCTACCACATAGGTGCCATCTTGGTCTTGTAGCCGGTCTCCCCTATACTTGCATGCGCGCACTTCCCACTGAAATCTTTTCCGGAAGTTGAGTATTGTCAAGCCACCAACAAATGATCCGCAAATCCGAACAAGGACACGTGACAAAGGGAGCACTAACAAATAAACAAAAACCACAAAACAACACCAGCGTTTGTTTGTAACAAAACAAAACAACATTGTTTGTTATAAATAAATATAACAACAATGTTTGTTTACGCTTTTGGGCTTTGGTCCTCTTCTCCTCGTTTTCTTCGTTTGCTTTTGTGGCTGGCGGCGTTTTCGCCCCAGCGGAGCCGCAGCTTGCGGGCCTTGATCTCGATGCCTCACACGAAGCAGAGGCGAACGAAGGAAACCGGATGGCCGGAGTGGAAATGGATGGATGGACTGGAATGGACTGGGTTGGATTGGATTGGATTGGATTGGGCTGGATTGGATTGGACTGGATTGGATTGGATTGGGCTGGATTGGATGGAGATGTTCCTCCCCTTTTTCGGGTTTGACCATGGATTGGACGGAGGGATGATGGGGATGTTCCCTCCCGTTTCGGTGTTTTGACCATGATTGACCTGTTAGGACATGATTTGTGGAACGAAAAAAAAGAGGAACTTGAGGAACACCTATATCTTTCTTCTACTACGATTTTACCTATTTATCTGTCTATCTATCTATATATAAGTATATATATATGTAAAGACTCAGCCCTTCACGCCCTGTTTTCTATATATACAATATCATTCTATATATGTACTGGTACCTTCAATAAGGGGCATCCTCTTTTCTGAAGGTTCTTGGACCCGAAAGTTCTCAGCTGACCAAGACGTGACAGGTCCTTCTCTAGATACACAATCCTATTTGGAGTGGAGGTTACTAGACCACTTTCACAAATGGATGAGACATGCAAACCCAAGCCTTCCACACCTGATGCATAATTAGAGTTCATGCACACACAACAACTCTAGTTTGTTAATTAATATTTGTTACTGTTATTCCCATGTCTGCCGGTGGAATCCTGCAATCAGCCAATCCTCACGCCGATTTCAGGTGCTGAATTACATACCAACTCCAGTGGTTGGATCCAGAGTCCAGTGAGCTACCAACGCAAGTCCGGCTTCTAAAAAAATGGTCAGTGACATCAAACATCGAGCTTGGTGGAATGACTTCTGAATCCGAAGACATCGCCCCACGTTCTTTGACCAGGAAAAGATCTGAGAACTTGCGTCCGAATAGTAAGCAACAAGCTTGCCCTTCGGAATATCATCCCATGGAAAGGGAGCCAAGTGTGATGCAAGGTTTGATGCTTTGCTAGAAGTTTTTTGTGGGATGAACAAACCAAAAGCTTTGAGGCCGGAGTCTTCCTGTCCTTTCCACGCTCTCTCCATACTGATTGCTCTGCCGGGGAGCCATCGACCTTCTTGATTGCTTCTAAAGCACCTACCATGGACCAACGAATCAAAGACACACCCAAGTCAAGTCAAAGGTTGTGCATATGAAATGTGTAGCGCAGTGAAATTAAAAAGGGACACTCCCCGTAGATCTTCGGGTCAAGAGAAATGATACACAAAAACAAACCACCAAATGTTCGACGCCATAGCTGCCGAATCGGGGGTTCTCCCGATTCAGATCACACCGGGCCCAGATCACTGAATCCGCCATGTGTGACATGTACTGACAAGCACAGCACATGTGGACCAGGAAAGTCGAAAGAAACTTCGGATTTATATAAAGTATTTGGTGAATGGTTTATGTTCGTGGTCAAAACAAAACGAATGAACGTGTGTTACCAATGGACATTCTGCAGGATAGAACTATATTCCCCCCTTGATCCGCCATGTGTTTGTCGGCTTTTGAACGTGCTCAGGAGGAGTATCTCAGGAGGATGCGCAAGGTTGGTGGAGAAACTCATGCGGAGCTGAGAGATGCAGGCTCGGACCTTCTGAAAGCATCTGGTGTGCTGCTTGTGACCATTGAATCATCGCTGGGACGCATCACTCCTGGGACTCATCGTCATCTTGAAGAACTCCCCAACCAATGGAGTTTGCTGGTCGATGTGGGCTCTTCCTAGGTCTTTGAGTCGCCCTATAGTTCAATCTACGCACCCACCGGACGCCCTCGCTCGACATCCCCGGACGGGATTCGCAAGCGCGCCTTCAGGGGTCTTGAACTCGGCGAAGCCAAAGCCACGGCCTCGGCCAAGGATGGCTACTGGGGGTAAGACTGGTTATGGTGCACTGGGAATGGAGAGTTGTTCCAAGATGCAAGTCACAGTGACCTGCAATGTTCGGAGGCCTTCGGGGACTTCTTGGTCATTGCCCAATGAGCGCATTCGAATGAATTCTTCAGGTGCAGTCGTCCGCCACTATAGCCTGCATGTTTGATACATCTTGGATGCGCTTAATCAGACCTTCAAAACACTAAACAGCTAAGCACACAACAAACACATCCCATGGTACAGTAATGCAATATGCCTATGACCAACACATCCCGGGCATAGACACTTCCAGGGTTTCCGTGTATCTCTCCCAAATCTACCCCCATCACAACCAAAAATACGGTGTATTTTTTCCAGAGGGACTCCTCTCCTCCCATCTCCTTTCTCCTCCCATCCTCCTCCCTCTCCGTCTGTCTTGTCCCCGGTGTAGACGTCTCTCCTCTCTCCGTGTCCACCATCCTTCTGTGACCCAAGGGACTCACGCCATCCTTCTGCACCGACAGCCTCCATGAGACCATGCCTTCGATCTCACCGAAGAGCTCTCGCACCTGCAAGGGGTGTTGGGGAAAAGAAAAAGACCTGGAAAAAAACACCAACCAGGGCCTTCCCAGTGACTTGATTGGAGTCCATGGTGACCTTTTACAAGCGTTTCTGCCCGAACCAACCAGGGGATCAAGTTCGGTCACGAACGGAAGATCCAGGAAACATGAAACCATGTATATAATCGTTGTACAATACACATTCTGCTTGAAGCTGCTTGAAGGATGAACCCGGCCTTTTTCGAATCTTTTTGTTAAAGTCCGGTAGTCAACACATGATTGAAGAAAAGCTATCTCACGGGCAAAACAGGCATGATTGCCCAAGCCTTGCCCGTGCCGCCAGATGAGGAGAAGGTTGTGAACGGAACACCAGAGTTTGCTGGAGAAAGCTTCCATGCAGCATCTCATGGTGGTTTATGTTCCAAAATTATGATCAACTGCCCCGCCACCAAGAAACCAACCCCTCAACAAGTTTCACATATAGTTCATCACATTCACATCATACACCCGCAAACTAGCTCTACCTAAGGGTATCTATGGAGTCTCTGAATTCCGATAACATCCTTTTTTTGTATAGAATCCAACTGGCTTTGAGTCTCCGTCTAAAGACACTCTGTCGTCTCGGTCTTTTGATCAGCACCTCCTCTTCCGTGGTGTCGAAGGAGATGTTACCCACAAAGACTGGCCATACGTCTTTCCGCCGCGGTGGATCTTTACGCTTTTCCTCAGTCCGACATTGCAGGTTTGTCTGTGGGTCAGGCTGCCCATGACACCTTTCACTTTTGATTCGGAATGCTGGCTGTAGAATGCATTTCGATGTCAGGTACATGACTCAAGCTAGGTGAAAATCAAGGACGTGCAGCCTTGCAGCACAAGAAAGAGCTCTAGTATTCTTGGTACGGGTTGATTCGACTGTTTTGAGTTTTGACGTTGGATCAATAGAGCACCCTCCCAGTTGCCCGGTGTCAGACACGGGTCTCTCTTCCAAAGGAAGGGGCACCAAGGTGGAATCTATTGGAATTGAGTGGTAATGTGTTTGTTTAAAACATATACAAAACCGCTTCTCTCCACTGAACACCATGACGTGAACAAAAAATCATATCATCATAGAACACAAATGAACGCAATCTCTGACAAGACTTCTCACACATGCCATGCCATGCTGTATCTTGTGCATCACTAGTCACATCGTCAAATGCCAGGAACATAAAACAACCAACCCACCGAAACAAACAAACAAACAAACAAACAAACAAACTATATATGCGTGACTAACTTAACACGATCAAGGACCTTTCTGGAACAACTCCTAGTCTCTATGGGCTTATCAGGCCCAGGCGGTCTCACCAATACCAACGGCGGCAAATGCCCAAGCCCCGGCAGCAACCCTGGAATCGGTGGCAGCCCGGGCGGTACCCCTGGCATCGAGGGCATTCCCGTCATCCCTGGTATGTTTGGCATGCCCGGCAGGATCAGCGGCAGCCCGGGCATCTGAGGAACTCCGGGCACGCCGTGCGGGACGGGCGGGAGGCCTCCCGGGACGGGTGGGACACCTGGCGGCATGCCACCTGGAGGTGGTGGCATGGGCAAACCCATGTTCGGAGGCTGTGTGGGCAATCCCATGTTCGGAGGCGGGAGGCCACCCGGAGCAGGTGGTACCGGGCCGGTGTTGACCATGGGAGGACGCGGAAGCCCTGTGGGCGCCATGTCCAGGGGCGGAGGCGCCGGGATCGGGGCATCTGAGGGGTTGGACATGATGCCAACCTTGCCCCGGTCCTACCCCCCTTCTAGAAGGGGGGTAGGTACTATAGAGCCTAAGGACTGCGGTAAAAAATACGTCACAAACTGTTGCGATACTTGAACCACATGTGCGAAACGGAGGACAATTTGCTGGTTTTGGTTTGAAATTTCGATAAGGGTATAGTTGATTCAGGCCCGGTGGAATTCCAATGACTGTAGCAACGGGGCAAAAAGTCCAAAGACCGCACAAACAAAAAATAGTGCGTGGTAGGGTGCTTTAATGTTTGACAATGTTGCGTCATGCTAATTTCGAGCCTTCCAGTCTTCCAGCTTGCAAAATAGAATGTTTGTGTCCGAATGGGTTGTGGCCCGGTTGAAAGAGTAGTCGCAACAAACACTTCACAAAAAATGTCCTTTAAACAAGTCACTGATAATACAAACACATGTTTTTGCGTGTAAGGGCCTTTCATGGGTCGTTGCGTCAGATTGCAGTCAGCCACCCAAAGTAAGTCAACAATCACAATCCCTCACCAATAAAATCAAAAATGGCTTGCGTGCATGAAGCACCCAGGCCACCCGGCGCTGGCGCAGATGCTGCAACCACGCGGACAGAGAGCCTAGACGGAATACCCTGTCTTCGAGTGTGCTTCCATACTCCAGAGCAAGCCAGATGTAGTTACAAGGACCAAACACAGAAACATAGTCTTCTATCTAGCTGCTGTGTAGCACTTCTTCCACCAGAGCCAGCCACTTGAAATTATTCAAGCAGCCGTCGAAGACAGCTTGTCTGGCACCCTGGCCTAAAGCCACTGGTCTCATTGGCACGCTTCAACCTGAAGATTGGGTGGTGCAAAGTCATTTCCTTGTGAACATACCAATTAGCCCATTAGATGCAGTGCAACGTGAACCGCTGGCACAACAGCTGACTCACAGGCCTCGGCAACTTCATCTCATCCCATGTTTGCCTTGGTCAGTGAAGTTGCGCTGTGAGTGTGCGAAAGAAGACTTCCCTATGCTGATGGCCATGGCGGCGCGTGTTAAGCCCACATAAGGCATCTGAGAACAAGGATGGCATCTGTCACCTGAGGTGAAAGGCGTGCGAGATCCATGGTGCCAAACCCAGCGTGCAACTAACTTCCTTAGTTCTTGGTGGCCAGTGTTCGGATTCTCAGCCTCTCATACCCGATGTTGCGTCAATCGACACTTGCAGGAGAAGTTCGGTGTCGGTCTTGACCTGTGACTCTGTACAATGAACGTAGCCTGCGATCATCCAGCAACATAGAATGCCTGGGAATGACCTAATTGAAGGTCTATTAAATGACCCCTCCCCAGGTCTGGAAAACAACAAAACTATATATATATATACACACATAAAAATTGAGCCAAAAGTGTGCCTACAAGCGATCTATATCTGCAAATCTCAGCATATCTCACCCTTCTTTCCCCAGGTTGACTACATACACCCAGTGGGCTCAAATGTCTGCATCAAGCGTACGCAGCGGGAACGGAAAATCCTATTTGCACAAGTTCACAGCCAAAATGTCTATACAATCAAGGCATGACGTGCCACATCACCCCTGGCATAAAAAAAAGATACTGGGGTACCACACCCCGTCATTTTATAGAGGATATGACCAGGGGTCTCAATGTACCGTGCAAAATCCAATCGGGCCGTGGTGCCATGAGACATGTTTAAAACCCCTCCAAGACTCCCTCGATGCTTTTGGTTGCACAGAAGTGCCCCGAACGTTTTGCCCGAACCTGGCCGCCGACCCGAAGTGTCCAGCTGCCCGGTGGGCGGAAAGCACATGACGATGGAACTAATCCCTGAAGTTTCCATCATCTCCCCGAACTTAAACCCCCTTGGCAAATGATGTTTCATTGAATTTGTGGAAACAATGTGCAGGTTCCAAACATGGAATATCCATACATGATCGTGATATGGTAGAAGAAGAGCTACATATTGAAAGGAACTTAAGGTTTCAGTCGAACGCAAAGGAAGAAACAAGAACAAACGCAGGCTCTATGTATCTGTCCGTTTATGCCTGGTTGTCTCCACTGTAAGCCTCTGTAATATGTATTTGACTTAATTGTATTGGCCGTGGGTATTGTATGGCTTTGGATAGCACTAGGAGGCATTGCTTCTAGGTCGGAGGCCATCGCTATGAGGTTGGAGGCCATGCATAAAGTGTCTGGGTATTAAATATAGCATCTAAACAACAAAAGAACGTTTACCAAGGGATCGCCAAATCGCTCAAGAAGATTAATGTTCAGCGGGTGTGGAGTGTCCTGCCGACTGCAGCGGATGTTTTCTCTCCCCTGCGGGAAAAGCAGGTTTCAACGACTCAAACTAATTGAATGTCCTGTCCTGTGTATCTTTCTGCAACCAAGAGCTCTGATGCTGAGGATCAAGACCATTGGATTGTCAGCAACATACTGTTTAAGCCTTTTCAAGCTCCCTCACACTGCTTCGCTGTATGCCTCACATCCGTCATGTCATTTGTCGTCCCCTCATCCCTGGCCACCATCCCTCCGCCTGATGAGCATTCCTCCGCCAAAGGCGGCAGCCATGTTATACATGGCACCCTGCTGGGAAAGGGGTCGGCGCCAGGTACCAACCAAACTGGTTGTGCGTTTGGGAGATATTGGGAGATGTCCCCATCAAATTGCTTGGGTTAATATTCTCACACCAGGTCAATGACGGAGTTGGTCAGATGTAAACAAAAAACATGTTTTAGATTGTTTTAGTGGGTGGGTGGGTGGGTGGGTATTCAAAAAGGGAGCCCTGGCCCTGGAAGAAGGAAAATAAACCAGTCTATACCAGTCTAACCATTGGGCGGTACTGGCTCGCCTGTCTGCGTAGTGTCCGGCGCATGAGGGATGCGTCATAGCCACTTAGACCATACTGGCCCTCCTCCGGATGTGGGCTTGCAGGGATTGGTTGTGCCGGATGTCTCCGTCTCCCACCGGAAGTGTAGCGCAGAAGAACGCCCTGCGAGGGTTGAGGAGGTCATCTTCGGTGTGGAGCGGAGGCGTGTCCCCTTCCTGCGACCTGTCCGCTAACTGCCTCATCCTATGGATGGAGTTAGCGGACAGGTCGCTGAAGAATGACAAGAGTATGACTCCCTAGGGATCCAAGTACCTTCTCAGAAGGTGATTGGAGACACCGTTATGTAGGTTTGGAGGGTCCAGGGTCCAGTCGTACCTTCTGACAAGGTACGACTGGATCCCTAGGGACTAACTCCATCATTTCTGTGTCCGCTAAAATGTTTCAAACATCGATTTTTCGGTCTGATGTCCAACAGATCGGAAGGATTCGGGCATCCGAATCAACGAAGGATATGGACATGAAACTGGAATATGAAGCGGAGCGATCGGAGCAATCGGACGCGCACCGAACGGAGCAAGCATCCAGGGCATCGCGAACCGAACGGAGCGATCGGACGACGCGCACCGAACGGGGCATGAAGCTGGATCGAATCGATTCACGACGTCACGATGAAACGCGACCATCCCCAAACATAGAATCCCTGTGGATTCAGAGCTCCTCAGTGCATATGTCGAGAAATGTCTGGAGCCGGACCCTCAGTTGGCTCAGTCTTTTCAGTTTCGACCCTCCAGTTCCACACTCCAGCTGACCTTCACCGCTTGAAGACCCAACGACCGCCCACCTGCCGGTCCCGCCTCCGGCCCGCCGGTCCGCTGCCGGAAAGAGCAATGGGGTCAAGACGGATGGAGCGACTGGAAGGACTTGGAGGACATTGGTCTTCGATCCATCTTCACTCGGACAGGTCTTGATGTGACAAACCAACAACTGGTTTAACGTCCAAACACCCTGAAAGGTCCTGCCATGGTCCAGGAAGGCTGTCATGAAAAAAAATACCGTTCAGACCTGAAACTTTTCCGGGTGACACCGGTGCAAACAAAAAACATCGTGTGGTCATTAACCTTGAAAGGTGAGAAAGATGGAAGTGACCGCCAGGTCAGATGCCTCAGCTGTTCATCTTGGGGACCTCATCTCGCCTTGAGCCATGAGCCATCGGCACGGCGGCACGGCGCTGAAGCTGCGTGGGAATGCGGCGCTTGCAGGTGAGCGATTTGGGCCGAGGTCAACGGCCTGAACCAATGCTCAAAGCCTCATGGAGCCTCCAACTGCATGTTTCAGGGCGTAGCATGGTCCGCCTTTTTTTTCTGTCTTTGTGAAGATTCAGCTGGCCTCGCATGTATACAGGGATGTGTGCCTGTTCAATGTGTTTGTCCTCCCATCAGGGGGCCGGGAGGGCACACTGAGCATCAGGAACCATCGTCCCAGTGATACGCAGAAATCGCTCTTGGGATCCGTGATACGCTCGTGGCGAAGAACACTCCAAAGCTCCCAACAACCTTGAGGCAACTGGTGAGATGGACTTGGATTTCTGCAGATTCGGAACTATGACATGGATCGTCTATGTTGTAATTGATGACCCTCAAAAAGAGGGCTTTCGGGGCTTCCCGACAGGATTCTCAAGGTTTGAAGGCGGGGGAGGGGTTTGTCCATCTACCACGTATGGAGCATCGTCTTCATGAGTGGAGCATCGTCTTCATGAGTGGAGCATCGCCTTCATGAGTGTATACATGTGTATACAGTATAGAATGATGCTGTTCCCACAGAAGTGGTCTGGCATCGGCGGAATTTTGTTGACACGGGCCGAAGGTGATTAAGTAAAGGGGGGGGGGCGTTTCGCCCTCTACAAAAAAGACAGCACCACGGGGTAAATGTCAGGAATTCGGGGAGGGTAGCACACCACTCACACGTCCACTTCCACTGGAATAACATGACAATGCTGTGCATTGAAATATACTCCGTATATACTTAGTGCCACAGCTTCCAACAGTGATTGACAACTTCAGGGAGAGGCGTTGCCCTTCTTTACTTAAACGAAGGACTGGCTGAAGAAACAACAAATCCCAGTGTATGTGGAACTCCCATCGCTTTTGAGGACCTCCCATCGCTCAAGAAACTCTCTTGTGGTGCTCGTGCCTATCACCGCAAACAAAAATAAACACGCACCAAAAACACACCATGATAATGCCATGTATATGGCATATTTGCATACATTGACCCCTGACCCCCCCAATGTAGGTATAAGTAAGTCAAAGCATGTCAGTCCCCCCTGGAGTTTTCCGGTGCTCTACAGCCGCCACGGCGATCGAAACGGCGGAAGACGAAGCCGCCTTCCGGCGGTCCACGGCCACGAAACACCTTGGAGATCGACGGACGGACTGGAGGCAGGAAAAATGTGACTGGGAGGGGGTTGAAATACAGGAGAAGTGGTTGAGTTCTGAAAAAGTCATGGTGAAGGGTGATAGAATTCGAGGTGAAACGAACCAGTCTCATGCAAGGCATCAGTCGGTTTGTATTTCGCAAGGCGGTCCGTCCGAGGCCTCTCGGAGCAAGCTGGAGGGCAAGTTTCTGAGCACAACTTGCCTCATGTTGAACACAACATGCCTCTACAAGAGTCCAGAAAGCACACTGGTGCCCACTTGGGGAACGCACGAGGTCACAAAGGTTGTACAACTTGGGTTTACACAGGAATTCGATACTTAGAAGTGCAAATTCTGCACACAACAAAACATCACACATCCATAAAATCCCTTTTCCATCCTTTTCCATCAGTCCTCCCCGAGCTCTTCCACACTTGATCTACCCGCGAAGCTTCAACACATCTCTTGACTCTTCACGAAAGCTGGACCAGCTGTCTCCCGCGAAGACCTAGACTGGGTCGGTCTAGACTCTGGAAATCCCTTGCAAACCATGGTCACATATGGTCACCGTGTCGCATGACTTGCACCCGATCTTTTACTTCTTGATAGGAAAATCCCAATTAATCTGTACACTCCCAATATGATCTATCCCAAAAACACCGAGACAATCGGTCTTGACTTGCAAAAATGAACCCTTCGTTCGGGGACAGCAAACACAATGAAACCCACTGTATCCTTTGAACCCCATCAGCTTTGCTTCAAGACCCAGCACAACACGCGCCCGTCTCGCCATGCCGACCGTTCGGTCGACCGGGGTCTCCGGGGAGACCCGGGCGAGCGATCCACGCGCGCCACCTTCAACAAGCTGGGCCGCCTCGGTGGCTGCGGTGCTCCGGTCCAGCTTCCGGATCCCGTTCCGGTCAAGTACGTTGGGAGGACGGAGACGGAGTTCCGGTGATCCAATTGAGGAATACTAGATGGAAATTGTCATATAGTTAATGAACAATCATGTGCAAGGCGGCTATTCTATAGATGCATGGGACAATGTCTGGATGGACTACTCTGGTGCGTGGGTGCGCGAATCTCACTCGACTCCTCAAACATCGAAAGTCAACGCGGTGAACTCACTTCCTGCATCCTGGAAGACCCCCATGGAACCTGAAAACCACACCTGGTGTGCAGAGGATGGTCAATGGTCTTGCAATGGTCAATGTTCAGGTCCATATTAATCTTCCCGGGTGTAACCGTATCTTATTCAGTGCAAGCAATGGCAACCTCATCCCATGCTGGTGATGAACACATATATCATTATAAGGCAGTTGACCCCAAAAATCTGTTGAGGATGAATGGCGACATGATCAAAACATGTCAAAACATGATCAATATATGCTAAAACCATCTAAAACCATACACCACTGGCACTGCCACTTCACTAAACATCTGTTTGGTTTGACTATTTAGATGTGTTTGTGGTCTTCTTACTTGCGCATGACAGCGCAAGTTGAGTGCAGTTGAATAGCCCCCCCTGTCCTGTAGCCTCCAACGAAGGCCAGCCCGGCCTACCCTGCTTCACCACGGTCTTTCACCGAAGGCTCCCGCTTCCGCTGCCGGGCTCGGAACGCTCCGGGGCGAAGCACCAAGGCCGTGGCGAATGGACCGGTTCGAGGCCACGCATGGGATACCTCGCGGCATGAGCAAGCTGGGCGGGTGGGTGGACATGAGCAAGCTGCAAGCAAACAGCAGGCGAGGCGGTGATGCCAGGAAAGACATCTAAGGGATTTGACCTGGTGATCATTAGAAGATCTAGGAACATTGGATCGGAAGGAATGGATCTTTGATCTTTGTCTTGCAGGGTGGATCATTGATCGGATCATGTTATCAGAAGAGGTCTTTTACATCTTCAGATATCTTCAGCATCCAACCAAGCTCCCCCCAGGCCACCACACACATAGAAGCAGGACCTGAGCCAGACTATGGATGTCATGGAGTATTGACCAAGGGGTCAGGGCCTGTCAGGGTTGCGTGTTTTGAGCGAAGCCAGGTGGTTCTGAACCTGAGTCATCAACAGAAAAGTTTATATGAGATGTGGTACTTCGTTTCGACTGCTGGGGAACAGTCGAAAATACACCAGGATGAGTGACAAAGAAATCGTCACCTCTCTGGTGACACCATCATGACACCATGGACAATTGGGATGCATGGAATCATGAATCATGGAACCTGTTTATACATGTAAAGCCCCTAGCTAAGCCATGTGGGGCGTCCAGGGTGCATGGTGCAAATACATCCAGTGTGGTCGCCTGCCAGGCGTGTGATCTGTCCATCCCGCTGCTTTATTGCTGAGTCTACTTCTGTGGAGACCCCTGTTGGTCCGTCCCCGACTCTGAAGGAACCCCGCCAGCTACTTTGGTTCTCTCGAGGGAATCCATCGACCCAAAGCAAAAAGGGGTTCACTATGAGGAAGAAGTGAAGCATATATGCTTCACTTCCTCCGAAAATCCTCCGAATCCGACAGATGAGACTCTGCCTCATATTTGATGGGTCGCTCAAGCTATGTTGATGAAGTCTTGGAACTTCCCATGCAGGTCTTGGAACTCTTGATTCATAAAGCCCTCCCATTTGGATTGCAACACCTCGATCTTCAATGATCTTCATATGAATGGGGTGGGATTTCTTCATCAATGAGTCCACAATATGCAAGCAACCGGGGTCCCTGAGGTGTTCCATGGGTCTTCCAGGTCGGGCTGGTCTTCCATGGTCGAAAGGGGCGTCCGGGCGTCTTCGGTTCCCCGGCCCATGCACCGTGTCGTTGGGCGTCTCCAGGAGCAGCGGCAAGTGCTTTCGGGACTCGGTCGACCGCACCAAACGAAGGAGCGACCGGAGGGCGGAGGATTCCTGAAATCGATGGCTCAATCGCAGTCCGCCCACACCTGGCAGTGCAGTTCTTTTTCAGCATTGTTGGGATAGTACTGCTAAAAACGTCACCCAAGCGTTGGCTACTAGTTATTATATAAAACAATTGCTGGGGGTCTTGGACTGGCAGGGGGGACCCCAAAACCTCCTCCCAAAAAAAACAAGGAAGCAAAGGAACAGTGCCAAAAAGGCGCATTGCCCCGACTGCCCACTCTCAAAAAAGCATCAATATTGGACATGTTGCGAAGCAAACATGTCTTGCGATGCATATTCTTTGGCTGGAGGTCGGCTCATCCTTCTCAGCAAACCCGTGTATCTCGCAGTGCCAAGGCTGGCCAGGTCCAGGTCGCCCCTCCCAGACGCGGTCTCACAGCCGAGAGTGGCCATCCGGAACCAGGTGGGGTGTCGGGTTCCCCGACTCGACTGGTTGGGACAGGTAACATACAATCCACGACTGGTTGAACGTAAATATGCCAGTCCCATGGAGTGTCTGGGGTTTCTTACTTGCAACCTGTGGGGAATATGTTGGAGTTTTTAACTTGTAACTGTCATTTCCTCATAGGCATAGGGTTGTTCTACTTCCACCCGCTAGATCTGCCGGCTTCCTCTCTCCGCCGCGCAGCCATCAACGTACCGAAGCCATCATGGATCCGGAAGAAGGCAGCAATACCTGTGGGCAAAGTGCCATGCCCAGCTAGCCCTAGGTATGCTGCAAATCAATGTTTGCAGGTGAATCACAACATAGGCAAACAGGAAGAAAGCCGGAGCAGGCAGTCCCTACACAGACAGGATGGAATCTGAACGAAGCCTCCATTGTACTGCAAATGCATCAAAAGCGACAAACCTTTGAGCGCGTCGATTCATGTATGGGTCATTTATACATACAATCTTAACATATATGACTCCTTGTGCACTTACGAGGCAAACAATGATTTGATTACAACAGAAAAAACTGTGAATGTAAATCCACACAAACTGAGATAACTAACCCAATGGTAAAGAAACCATTGAAAACAAAAACCATTTATGATTGAACCCAAGCAAGTGGATTTGGATGAGAAAATTGGGTTAATGGTATATAGTTATATTGGGGTTGGTTTTGTGGAAGCATGTTTTCTCATTGTGAAATGTTTGGAACTCTTATGTTTTCTCGGAGGTTAACAGGGGCATGGTGAATATGTGCAGACCACTCCTTGAAATGACGTCTACACTGAAGGCAAAACAAATGATGACCTGCCAAATTTGTTGTTTTTCTGCAACTAATCCAAGCTTTTCGCCAGTGCAGGGTGAAGAAATATGCTTTCATGCACGGGCAATCATGCGGTCTTTTTCAAGCTGCTATGCAACTACAGTACTCACCAAACCCCTACCCTATGTCGCCACATCTGGCCCGAACGCTCATGTCTGTCTTCTCTCCATGCCCTGCGGGCACAGGGCAACGGATTCTCCTCGTGTTCCTCAGCCAATGGTGTGCTGTGCTTACTAAGCAAAGATGATCATTCCAAAGCTGCACCTTCCTGCAGTAATTCTGATCCCTAGGGCTCCAGTCGTACCTCCAAACCGGTTCGCTATGACTGGACCCAAACATGGCACCCACCTAGTCCCATCTGAGCTCCCGTGCGGAGACGGGCATCGGGCTGGTGGCCTGGTTCCCCGAAAAGGAACAAATCCGGTTGAGAAGCAACATATCAAGCGCTTCCAAGAGAGGTTGAACAGCCCTTTCTTGCCCATCCCATATGTACCACTACAGGGTCCTATATGGTCCCTCAACATATCATGTGCTTGTTAAAAATAAAAAATAATAAAAACTATGGCCCGCACCAATAGGCACCGCCTATAAGGCACCTGTGCCCCCTTTTTTGCGTGCACGGATTCTCTTTCTGCTTGCCTCCCTAAAAGATCAAAACAGTGTCCACGATTAAGGACCTCCCCTAGTTGTTTGGTCGAAACCTGTTCCTGCAATCATAACCACCGTATACTAAAGGCCTTCTAGTACTCTTCCGGCGCAGAAGTGGGTACACTCAACTGACCCTTGGTCCACCTTTCCTCGGAACCAAGCAGAACCAAGGTCCTGTGCTGCAGAACCAACCACCATGCTTTGCTTTTTTCACACCCCTTCCTTTTCAATTGTTCGATCATCTTTCTGATTCTGATGAACTACGGCGATAGGCCTATTAATCAACGATGTCCAATTCAATTCCCGTTTCTTGTCCTAGCTCACTTCTCAAGATCCCTTTTATTCATGCTGGACCATTTACACAGCAGCCAAATTGGTGGATATGTGCAGCGACTGCCCAGATGTATTCTTGATGTTCATCACCCACGCTGGCATCCTGCTTCTCAACCAACTTATTCCTCTCAGCTTTGCCCAGCTCAGCTCATTCTCCACATTCACCTCGTTCTCCACATGCTTGCTGTTGAAATGGCAGGCCATGGTATCCCAGCTCATATTCACTAACCTCCAAGTCGTTCCAATCAAAGATCACACTATGTAGTACCACACATGACATAGCCTCCATTCCCATCATGAGCTTCTCAAGTGGCATGCCACAGTTTAGTCATGGCTCCTCGGAAAGATATGAAATTTAGTCTCTACTATCTCTTTTCAGGGAAAGATTTAGTCTTTTGAATTCTTCTCCTGATGAGATTTATCCTTCAGGAGTCTTTGGGATCTTTCCCATGAAACGATTCAGTTCACTTTTGTGTTGGGCTGTCTCCTCATGAAGAGGTTGTAGTCTTGGGTTCCGTGAAGAGACGCTCTCTTTGTTGGCACTCCTTCTCATGAAAATATTTAGTCTTGGGGATCTCCTCACAAAAAATTTTACCCACCAAATTGTGACCCCCCCAAACAGCAGACCTTCTACAGGGTCTGTCGAGATGACTTGGGAGTCTGGCAAGACAAGGGGACTTCGCCTCCCGAAATAGCGACCTTCGCAGCTGGGCGACGCGACGCCCGCCTGCCCACGCCTTTTGCGCAAGCCAACCACTTCCTCCTCCAGCTCCAAGCCAACCTATGGGGAGACTTCCGGGAAAACGAGCCAAGTGCCACGCCACTTGTAGCCGTCCCAGACGTCGTTGGTACTTAAAACTGAAAACATCTTAAAACAAAGGGCCAGGGCTTGTGCTCTCCACAAAAATATTGTCAAGCGCTGGCCAAAGGCACCAGCAGGGGCCACTAGCAGAGTCGACCAGCAGTTTTTGGCCACACCAAAACCTCCAAAGAAAACCATATGTTTCTTTGGCGTAGACTCTACTCTTTGCCACGTGGTCCGACTCCAGACTCTGCAACTGACACCAACATGAAAAGAGAGAGAGAGAGGGGGAGGGAGAGCCACCTGAACCCATGTGTCTTACAGCACCTTTAACATCCATGAACAAATCTGATTCTCATCATCTGTTTCTCCTCCGTCGTTCCAGAATGACACGAGGTGAAGTATGGTGATGTGATGCAACACGGAAACCCCAAACGATATATCCAAATACATATTTTAATAATATAATGGATCCACATAGCTTCTCAGAAGGCAATTGGACCCGACAATGGCGCCTACATCAATAGTCTCCAATCACCTTCTCAGAAGGTATGTGGATCCATAGGGTGTATATACAGTATATAATATATAGTTACGTATAAATATATGTATATATATATATATACCAGGTGCATCCGACTCCTGTCCATTAGACGCCCGCTCAAAACCCTTGGACATCCATCACCTTCGGCCACGTGCTTCGGCCACGGACTCGCTCTCGTCGCGAGTCGCTAGTCCCAACAGGCCGTTCGAAAGAGGCCGTTGGATTGAACAAAGACCCGTTCAGTATATAAGACATAGAAAGACATGCACCTACACGGTCCAACAAAAGCAAGTCACTTTTGTTTGTTTCTGGTTGATGTCTTATAGCTTTACCTCGAAACAGACTCACGTGTATTGTTGACAGCCTTCTTGGATGTCACAGATCGACGCATCCGCCGTCGGACCAAATCTGGTCCGTGCTCCAAGCAGATGAAGTCTATTGCTCCAACGACGGAGGAATGGGCGGACAGTTTGTTTGACGGTTTGTACTTCACACCGAGTGTGTAGCAATCCCCTATACTATATGACAAACAACCAGTGGCTTTACAGTTTATTTGCATCTTTGTCAAATAAGTGAAGTCGATACTGGTCCGAATGAGGATAGAACTTCACATTCTGTGAACATGAAGATGTGACTCAAGCAAATGTAAATCGACCATTGGCGGGCATCTTTGACTTTCAAGTAGCCGCTTTCCAAGTGGATTTGTTCAGGCCTGCTATCTCCTACAAACATATTGAAACAGCGGCTTGATTGAACACCCCCAAAAGCTCTCTCTACCCAAGAAACAATCCCAATCTACCTCTCCCTCTTCTCTCCCCCGCTTCACTTCACTCCTCCACGTCCTGGCACCGGAAAAAACTCACCGGGCTCCCGACCGACTGTTCCGAGGGCGCGCCGCCAAAGAGCTCGGCGCCACTCGTGAGGGTGTAGAGGATGCAGAAGTGCGTCTGGCGCGGCGGTCTTCGCGGCGCCAAAGGCTCGGGAGAGCGGAGAGTTCGGCTCTGAGAGCGGAGAGCGGAGAGTTCGGTGCGCCGGGTTCGTGAGTGGAGGGTTCCTGGGGTTCTTGGGTGTTCAGGCGCGTTTTTCTGAGGGGGTGCCAGATGGGGATCACCCTGGCTGGGTGGGGCGTACGGCCATGAGACGTGCTGCAAAAATGGGTGGAGTGACAGAGTTTCTGCAGTGGGGTTGTGCACAGAAGTATACCTATACTATATAGTGGGCACATGTGGGCATGGTCATGTTCTTGGTTGCGACTGTGAACTCAAGCACTTAGGAGTTAATCTCAGCTTCTCAGCCGCAGTGGCTGGTAACATGGCAGTGCTGCTGCAAATTGGAACAAGAAAGGAATCAGTTGAGATCCTGATCCCAATATCTTCTCATAGGCCTAAATCAGATCCTGCGCAGCAGCGCCCGGGGTGAACCTTCGCTTTCCTCTCTTCGGATGGATGAAACCCCCTTTCATCGGAATAGACTGGCCATCGATCCAGAACAACCGCCTCCGCATTGCACCGACAGAGGCGGGAACAAACCCGCGGACCGACCGTCCCACCGGAGACCCGAAACGACACCGGGGTCGCGACCGGGCAGGTTGAGGGAAGGGGGGTGGAGGGCCTGCTTCCCGGCAGCACACTTCACCATCGCGACATGGATCTCACGGACCTCGGGGAGTCAGTAGGTCGGTGAAGTGATCGGTGAAGGCCAAGCTGCGAAAGGAAGTGGGTTCGGTTTCTACCCATGGGACCGCCATGATGCCGCCCCAGACAGAGACCCCAAAACAACACCAACTGATCGGAGTATATGGCAGTCCCATGTGTTGTGTCTGGGTTATGGGCGCGTCTTTTAATAGGGAGATTCTTTGGCCCCATGGGTAGACTGGTCTATTTCCCTTCTTCCAAGGGGTCGAACTGGGGGGGCTCCCGATTCTAGTAGGCCAAAAAAAAGAGCTTTGGTGATGAAAGGACATCCTGAACATGTCATCTAGCCAGATGATTGGTCCGGTGTGTTGTTTGTCTTGTAGCCATCAATGTGGTCTAGTATCCACCACCGTCCACTACTGGCGCTCCCATGGAGGCTTCGAAGGCTCAATGCAGCCAGGAGGAAGAGCCATGGAGAGCCCCAACGCTTTGCTGCTTTTGGTATGTGTTGGTGACTTTCCTCTCCAAACCGGTCAAAAAGGGAACCTCGAAAAACCTCTGACCACCTTCTCAGTTGACCCGGAGGAGGAAGATTTCAGCTTCAAACATCTTCCAACCCACTGAACGGATCCGCCGGATCGATCCTCCCAGATCCGATCGATCCTCGACTCGACCGGAATTCCGGCGTGGGGCCGAACGGCGAAGCCGAAGATCTTTGGGGGCCCATTTCTTCAACAAGAAGATAGGAAGATCCAGAAGAGCCATATGGGGCCGCATTTCTTCAATCATGGTATCCATTTATAGAGCCCAGCTCCTTGAGATCCACCCAAAAGCTCATTCCTCTCACCACATCGGCCCCTGTTCAGCTCACTCGGTGTCCCGGGCAGATTGCGAAAGGGCTGAATAGCCCACACTGAGGTCTTTGGGCACCGGGTTCTTCCAAATACCTCAATCCGGATGCATCTAAAACACCATCGACCACCACTCTTTTTACGAGTGCAAAGAGGGCAGGAAGGACGTCCGGACAAATGAGGAGTCACATGGGCCAACTCCGGAACATCTGTTGGATCAATAGAGGCTTACAGCAACTAGAGCATCTATGTGTGCATCGTATAATATATTATTTATACATACCTGGACCATCCAAGGGGTGCCCTGTCTGGAAGCCTATAATTAGGTAGTTTGGGGTAGTCCAGCCAGGACACCCCGACAGGATGGTCCACAGTTTTCTGTTGTTGTTTTATCCAATCTTTCTTACAAGTACCACACAACAGATCCGTTGGGTCAGGGAACATCGCACATGCTTAGCCGGTCGCACTCGACGCCCGGTCAGCCGGTCAGCGCACACTTCAGGACCTCTTCGATGCTCGTGCAGCCCTCGAAGTTCCAAGGGCACAGGGAGAAGGCAGCATTGGCCTGAGGTCGTTCCGAGCGCCAAACAAAAACATCACGTGCAACCGTATATAGAGTATATATAGACATATAGACAAATCTCCTGACTGCAAATGAAAAAGTAAAAACCCTCTTAAAGAATCTTAAAGACATCCTGAATTCTCGTTTCGTTCCCTCTTCGTTTCGCCTCGCACAAAGCGCTTCCCAAAACGTATGCAACAAAGCCAGCCTGCGCCTCGGTTCGTCCCCCCCTGCGCGAACGGAAGGGACGAAGCACGCCTCCTTCCAGTCAACGATGTCCAGACTGGGCACCCAGGGCTCCTTTTGGCCGAACGGTTCCGCATCGCGTTTGGCCTTTTGGACCAACCTCTCTCGGCAGGAAGAGGACACTTTCTATGTGGTAAACTGCTATACTGCTCAAGCATTGATTCCAAGGCGCCTTGGCCCCTGAAGCCACAGAGATGGACATGGAAGAACACAAGAAGACCTCTCTGGTGTGCAGCAAATGGTGCTTGCCTCGTTCAGCGGCAAATTCTCCTGATCCTCCTCCTCCTGGCAGGGGCCAGGAGATGGTGTTTGGATGGAAGGAGTTAAGGTCACAAGCCAATTGGTCAAATCCAAGCATCGCAGGTCCATTTTGTGCGTTGTCCCCCAGTTGTGCTCCGAGATGTCCAGCAAACAAAGATTAGGATCTTCTGAACGTATAATGTTCATATATGTGAGAGGTTATATCTCGAGGGTATATAGTACTATATATCAACCACAGTGCTGGCGGACTCCAGACAACCCTATCACCAATATCATCCATATCAACGGCCAGAACGGATTCCATACAAGAACGTACAGGTTATGTAATGTTATCATGCATCACAATGACATCCTTCAGAGGCATTGCCTACTGTACAAAAACCTACTTCCAGAAAACTGGACTTCCATCCGTCCATCCATCCATCCATCCATCCATGGAATTGGTCAAATGAGCAAACACATCTGCATGCTGGAAGTGCAACACTCCCGCAGTTTGGGGGTGGCTGAGCCCAGATCAACATGACGTCCTTCATGTTTATCCCCCGGTGTTCGTCCCTATCAACCAATGAAACTTACAGAGGTGATCAATGAATAATTACCTCGCATGCTGGCACCATGCGTCTGGTTTCAGGGTGACAACCTGGATGTCTGATTCTGTTGACTCACAGGCAGCTTGCTGCAGGTGCCTCGAGCTTGTACTTCCTCTTGTTGCTGTTCCCGAAAACCACCTCGGACGACCATACCAACGACCACTTGCGCGGATGTTGGAGTAAGACTTACGCCATGTCTTCAAGCACCGTAGCAAGCAAGCAGTTGTCCTGTAGAACTGACTGGCGGACACGACGAAGCAACCCAACTTGAGCGGCTAGCCAATCGAATGAAGCTCCAAAGATCTCAGGCCATTGCCAAGATTGGGAAAATACTAGCACCTTGAAAGGGGGTACACCAATGGCAGCCCCTACACGACTTAAGGATCTCCATTCAATGCCCATTGGATGGTCCAGGAGTGTTTTTCCCATAAGAATTCCCTGACTGGTTATGGCTGCAGACGACCTCCATGCCCTGCCCTAAAGCTCAAACAACTTGCCACTCCGATCGTGTCCACGGTGTCCTTCGTTTTGCTCGGGTCGAAAACGATTTGACTCACTAACCCAGACACTCCATGTATGCCGATCAGTTGGGGTGGTTGACTGGGGGAATACTGGGGGTCAATGGGGCGGCAGTCCTATGGCAGTCCCAGACAGGTCGTGTCTGGGTAATAAGTGATCAAGCTGGACCGGCCGTTTCGGTAATAAGTGATCAAGCTGAGTCCAGACTTCGGCAGGCTTAGCTTGTCATGAGCCAGTTCTTCGACCACGTCAGCTGGGCTTTCCAGCGAAGAAGACGGTCACCAGGAACCCGACAATGGCGGAGGCCACATACCTCATACATGGCGTCAGCTGTGCGGTTGGATGGGAGGATCAGCAAGCATCAACTTCGCCAAGAAACATCAAGAAACATCAAGAAACACAGTAGACTCAGTAGACAATCTGTAGGACAATGTATTTGACAAATTCTACCTTGGGTCATACATGATTTCAGCCTATTTCAGCCATCCAGTAGTTCGGTTCAGCTCCAGCTCCAGTGGTTCTTCGGATCGTTTCTGAGTGCTGTGGATCGAATTTCTGGGTCCAAGCGATGCAGTCCGAAAGGACATCATTCCTGGACCCTCCAAAGTCATGTAGACTCTTGATGAGTAACCCCCATATGAGGTGTTTCAATTCAAGTGGGTCAGTGGGCTCGGTTTAGTCATCAAGAGTCTACGTCACCTTGGAACATGGGACATGACCCGAACAAAAAGCAGGGTATGTGACTCATGTTCTGAAGTACGAACGCGTCAACGTCCGAGGTACGTGGATCTCTTCGGATGTTCCTGACATGACCCTCTTCTGCGGAAGTGCTTGGTGGACGTGGCATGGCATTTGGGAGCAACGTTTGGCCAGTCCACTTCCATGTTTGCTTGGAGGGAGGGGGGCCGCACCGGTTTGCTCCTTCCTTCCCATGAGATATTTTCGCACCCCTAGGATGTGTGAAAATCCTCCGCAACAGCTACAAGAGCCTGTGCCCTTAGTAGCTGCCTGGATGAGATCTTGCCACCAGCGTAGAGCTGCCGGTGCGCAGGAGTCAATGAGAGCGTGACATGCCCCTCCCGACCAGCGAACTGGCAATTCCCAGGTCCCTGGCACGAACATCAGCACCTGGCGTCATCGCAGCCCCAATGAGGTGGCCCCAGTTTGATCACAAGGTAGTGGCTTGTTTCCCCTGCAATCCAGGAAGAAGTCGGTAATATCCATTTCCCAAATATCGGGGGCTCATCTATCCCAGACACTCCATGGGACTGCCATAGGACTGCCATAGGACTGCCGATCAGTTGGGGTGGTTGACTGGGGGTCAATGGGGCGGCATATATGGCAGTCCCAAACAGGTCGTGTCTGGGTATCTTCTTCACCACCACTTTCACCACACATCGGTCGATGGATTCGCCATTGGTCGATTGAACTTCTCCCGCGGTACGTATAGGTGTTCTCAGAGCACGTAGTACATGGCATGTCTATATATGCAGGTCCCATGTAAAGCATTCTTTGGGGATTGTGCCATCTGCTTTGAAATCCACATATATCAGGAGTAAAGGTGGGGAAGCTGAACCGCTACCCTACCAGTCGTCAGTGGAACCCCGTGCGGTTTCCCCGCTGGGCCACTCAACTCCAAATCGTCTGTGGGGCCGCAACCGCAAAGACGGATGACCCTTTCCAAGGGTTTAGGACCATCCGTTGCTCGGATGTCCTGTGGCCCCCAAGAAACGACCATTCTGTACTTTCACCTCCAAGAGCATCCCAAAAGGAGGTACCTGGACGTACCTGGGCCTGAGAGAACCCACACTTCTGTGAATGCTGGATGCAGTTTTGACACTCAGAAGGTGCAACCTGTATGGTCACAACATCGATGGATTTGGCCAAGAGAAATGAGACTCTTGTCCAAAGAATATGTTATTGCGTTCAAGATGTTACGTCAGATTCTATAATTAAATTCTATCAACGATCGATGTCATTATCTAGTTCCCGAAGTGAAGCCTTATCAGGTTCGCCTGGGGACAAAATTACAATATCACATATCACCCTATACATATCCTTGCAACCGATCGAGAGGTGAAAACAACAAATACAAAGCAATCCAGATACTTTGACCACTGAAGCTTTGCCTCAAGAAGTGGCACGAGGAATTTTCACAGTCTCGGGTGTTTTTTCTGCAGATCTTCGCTTTCACTTCCGCATGGATGCGCAAATGGGCCGCAACACGCCTCTTCAGGCGGTCCTCACGCGACGAAGAGACCCATGGCGATGGACATGGAGACAGAATCCCAGAAGGGCAACCTGCGAGTTTTGCTCTCGTGCTACAACATATTGAAAAAACAACACGTTGAACTCGCCGTGTTGTATGCTTGTTGTATTGCATACGTTCATTCAGTCAAAATTGTTGTGATCCTAAAATCGAGAGAAGAATTGATATTGCCTCTGGGGTTGAATGATTGCACGCGTAATCTGTGTAACTTCAGTTGTCAGATGTCTGTGCCGACAGACATGCCAGGGACAACTGGATCTGGGGTTTTGAGAAAACAAAACAATGACAAGTCTGAGATCTCGGGGTGTGGTGTGCAACCGCTGCGAGTGGCACGCTTCGTGTTGAGGACATCTGGACGATGTCGCCAATTCAGAACTTCATTCTACCCTCCAGGAAAACAAAGGAACATAGTTGTAATAAAGGAACTGTAAAATTACCAAAATGGCAAGCTTTCTCAAACTGCTTCCAGCTCAGCTTTGACATATTGTGCTGCCTGTACCCATGTGGTAAATTAGAAGCAAGCCTTTAGGCTTCCCCGTGGTGGCACCGTCATGTCTGCATTTGTTGAACCGTTCATGTTGCGAATTCCTTTTGAGCCACGACATGAGAAACAAACAGCCACGACACTTCAACACTTCAAGCAAAAACATGCGAAGTGTTGAATTAAGGTTCGTTAACCAAAATCCAACCATCACTACCAGCATTTTGGCAGGCTCATTCTTCACTTCGAATTCAGTACCTGGTCGCATTCCCTCACCGGATGAAAAAAAAAACCTTCGCCGAGAAGAGCAGAATGGAACTCACTCACCGAGCCAATGTTCATTGGACATGATCAACCCATGGGTCTGAAACATGTCTTCACCCTTCGTCTGAAACCGCTTTGGCAGAGTCGCGCGCGCTTCCAAGGCCATGTGTCGCTCGCGCCCCGGTTCGGCGTTTCGGTCGTCAGCTTCGTGCGACTCTTCCACCGGCCGAAGGACGCGAGGACCGGTTGTTCTGTGTGCCACAAAGGTGGTAGAAAGACAGCAAACGACATGACATGACCAAACAATCTTCCTTCTGCTCCCAGTTTGCATGTGGTGAGTTCGGCATGAATCGCTCATTCCACTTGAAAAGAACCATATATTATATAGAAGTTGAGCGTTCGTCATCGCTAGGTTGGTCCTTTCAACACTCCTCAACCCCCCCGCGACCCAGCTCTTGTTTGGGCTGGAGCGGACAGGGCAGCAATTGCGTCCGCAGTGATCATGAGCCTAAGCAGCCAGGTGCAGCACCAAGCTGAGTTGGGCTTGGGGTTTGGCTTGGGGTTTAGGGTTTAGAGTTTAGGGTGTTTGCCTTGGGGTTTTGGGTTTGGCTTGTTGGTCATTCTCTCTGAAAAATGATGATCAAGTACAGCTCATCAGCTCAATGTCAAGCGGAGTCTCACACACGAATGGAGTCAGCTTCTCCCGGACAGGTGCTTCAAAATGACCAATCTTGGAAGGTTCTGGTCTCCAAGTTCAAGGATTCTCAAGTTCCTGATCCAAACCTTTGATCAAACCTGTTCCTTCATGTGTCCTCTGACTCCGGGTCCCTTCGAGTCCCTGGGGAGGGTCCAAGGGGACCAACGTAAAACGAAACAACCCAAACAGATGGATCCATGTCCGATGGTTTGTTCTCCAATCTGTCCGGTCCGATCAGATGTCAAGCATTTGAAATGGTAGGTATCACTCCCGAACACTCCCATGGAACTTGCATATTTACATATGTTCTTCCAATTGAGTTATTTTGAAGGGGTCCATGTAGGTATACATCATGCATCTTTCGGGACTTGGAATTGCTTCAATTCGGACACATTAAATATAACCAAATCCTGTTTGAAAGGCATGGACATTCCTCAATCCATGAGATGGAATGAGATGCTCCCGCCTGCTCGGCACTCCAAAGACCGCAAGTAATTAATATGTGTTCATAATCCTCGAGGTTTACAGGTTAAAGAAAACATACAAGGCCTCTGCAGAAACTTGGTCCAAGGAACCTGCCAGCATTGCCTTCCACCAACCTCGGCCAAAACAGCACCAGCCTCCGAGATGCTTGGCCCTTGGAATGACGTTCAAGAGCTCATGAGGTGTATTTAATCCGACTTCAAGATCTTCGCATGATGTCATGTCAGTTCTACTAAATATATGTCTAGAAATATGACTCCCACTATGACTCCAATGGGCGAGCGCCCAGACCGACCAGAAGTCGAGCACAAGGGCCCATCTTGCCAAGCGTCTGCAGCTCGACCGGCAAAGCATCCATCAGCTGCGGCAGCACTGGTGCGGCCGCACTGCCATGGCCACGGCCCACCACCAGGCAGAGCGGCCGACTGAGACGCGTTGGCGGACTGGCGACCAGGGCGGACTCCCTGGTGGAAGTAAACGTGTGTTGTAGCACCATCCGACGGGTGGTCTATATACGACATGAACATGGTCTACGAGGTGTTTCAGATAGTTGGGTCTCGAGGTATATTCTCTTGGAGAACCCTCGATACCAAACTATTTGCAGTGTTCTTTTGGTACTTTTGGTGTCCTTCTCCCCACACCCACATCCAGCACACACTTTCCACATCCTTCCACATGCATCTTCATCTCCAGTGCCGAACCACACACCGCGACGGCTCAAAACGACTTCAGGAAACCGTGGTTGAATGAATTCATGGGCCCTATGGATCCACATCATACCTTCTCGGGTTCGGTCTGTGGGCTCTCCTGGCGCCAAAAACCGTCTCCGTCCTCACCGTACCGGTTCGGTGGCAGTGGATCTATATGCTCTATATAGGGGGGAAGAATCGATTGCGGCATCAGAACCACTGCAAGTCACCTCGGAGTGATCCTCATGCTTTTTGTTCTACGCTTCGATGTGAGTCACTTCGATGTGTCACTTCCGTGTTTTATCGCGCGCTTTCAAGATCTTTCAAGCGTGTTGTAAAAGAAACGTCGTTAATAGAGAGAGAGAGAGACACCAACAATCCAAGCAACAAGTGGAAGCAAGGACATCTTAACATGGCTGCCAAACCCTCACCTGGCAGGTGAAGAGAAAAGGTTAACAACATCAAACAACCTAACAAACGACTTCAATCACTTCAACCCACAACCCCAAAGCACTTCCCACCTCCTTGGCAAAGCTCCTGGTACTGGTGCTACTGCGCGACGCAGCAACGCAAAGGCGCTGATGATGTAGGCCGCTTCGAAGGTGAAACCATGGAGGTCGAGCTCAAACCTCAGAACCATAAAGAAAAACATCGAAAATCGATGGTGAGCCGTGCTTACGATTGATGATGGATATGATATAGAGCTATGATGAAAGAACAGTGGACTTCCTCTGCTGGTGGAACTAGGTAGATCTAGGTAGCGAAAATCAGTGGTAGGCGCACGTGAAACGTAAGGCACAGTTTTGAACCTTGAAAACTTGCGCAGGTCGATCTGAGACTGTAGTGGATCTGGAGGACCAGAAATACTTGATTGATTCCTCCAACTCCAACCTAATAGGAATGGCCTCCAACCTAGTAGCGGCGGCCTCGATATAAGGAATAAACACAAGAACGGAGTTCTCCCAGCTTAAGAACGGGCTCGTCTTTGCCTCAAATGGATTTTCATGGATGTTCCAATGGACGAATTGTATCGGTGTAGAGCTGCGGACAAAGGGACAAAGGGACATGGTCATGGAAGACTGCAAGCTGCAAGTTGCTGCAAGCTGCCCAGCACAGGTTTCTATAGGTTTCTATAATGCGGTTTGATGGTCCCTAAACATCCATCATGAACGGAACCGCCCCCTGGTGTCGCCGGATGCTCAGCCACTCTGAGATCCACGGCTGAACCACACCTTCCTCCTGACGAGTGTAAAAGGGGGGAGCTTCTGTCAAGGATGACTAACATGTGAGTGGGTCATGTCGTAGTGCCCTGTCGTCAAAGCACATGGTGATGGTTGGCTCCACTGATGGTTTGCGATCAAATGCTGTCAACTACCACACAATCATTCAACAGAAAAAGGTTGGGTGGAGAGAAGCGCAACATGTAGGGAGTATACTTTCCTGCATCTTTCTTTCAGGTTCTTGCGAACCTTTTTGCACCAGCCCTATAACAAAATGGTGCCCATACTTGAACTATATATAAGTGTTCCATATTTCACCGTGTATTTTGCGGTGAAGAATCATTGGATGTTTTCTCGTTGAACCGTTGTATGGAACGACCTCTTTCGCCCAGATATGCGCTCACGGAAATGGTCGATCCGCCGGGGATCCAAGGAAATGGCTTCTGCAGCACCCTACCCGTTGACCTGCAACATGTTCCCAGCTGGTGTGGGGAATCCCGCCAAGCTTGAGTGTGTCCTCCAGAGTGGCATAGAGCTGCAAGGCGGCGGCCAACTCCCCCGAACGCATCAGGGTCCCTGGCGAGCCCGCGCTCGCGCGGGAAGAACATCTTGTTGGGGTTAGTGGATCATCGGCCATACAATCTCGACTGACAGGACAGGCAAAATGGACATGTACGGAACTGGGAAAGCACAACAAACTTTGAACAAATACCAAGCAAACCCCATTGATTTGGGGTCTTACTGTCTTACTGTTTGAACAATGCAAATTCAATATAATTCAATTCTTCAACTCGATCACATCGAACTCCCCACACTTCTCCACCATCCAAAGGACTCACGCAGCCCATGTAGAGGGCTCGATCTGCACCATCCAATGACCTTGGCTGGGCTGGGCTGACAGGAAAACGCGTTTTCAAACGGCCTCTCCTGGAAAAAGAATTGGAATGAAGGTATCTCAATGGTTCGGGTAACACATGTGGCAGGAAAGACTTCAAACATGGATTCGGAGCTTGAACTCTTGACTCTTGACAGGACCAACTTCTGCTTCCGAGGGGCTTCGATCAAATATGTGAATAGAACATAACAAAACCACTTAGCATCACTTAGCAATCTACATCAATCCGCTGATGTAAAAAAACATAGTCAGTTTTTGTTTTTTTCCAATTTTAAGGGGATTTCCCACCGACACCTCAAGAGAATCTCTGAAAACCTCAGAGTCTGTGGGAGATTCAAAAAGGAGATACTTTGACCTGGTGAGATCTTCCTGGGTGGATCTTTTGCCCTCTCCTTCTGCCTGGCAGCAGCTGTAGTGCCTTCTGCCATTGGGAGCTCCGTTCCAAAGCCTCCAGCACGGTCAGACGCAGCTGCGCATTGGGCGCTTCCGGCCTCGTCTCTGGGGTCTTTTCGCCTGGACGAAGCGACTCGTTGGGCTGGACAGTGTGGAGAGTGAGAAAACGGATTCCCTAGGGCTCCAAATGCCTTCTGAGAATGTGTTTGAGGTGGGTTTGGAGGGTCCAAACACCTTCTGAGGAGGTACTTGGAGCCCTAGGGATTCTGTTTTGGACATACAAAGGGGGGGACTGAGCTGCTCAGTCCACTAGTCCACTGGCATCCAATCAAATGATTGGTGAGTCAACCAAGCCCGCACATCCTGCGGACAGGCAAATGCCAGCTTCGGGGACCACCCTCTTTTTCGCCACCCACCTGACTCCTTTGATCGATGGCCAAAATCGGTCCAAACGGAATGGGTGACCCAATGTGGATCGTGGAACCTCGCCTGAAAACCTGTGCCCTATGGTTCCAAAGTCGTTTTATTTAAAAGACGTTAGCCTAACATCCTTTGTTTTTTGCTTTTCCCCTATGCTCCCCATTCACGCTGTTCACGCCTCAGGGTCTTTAGTGACTTGAACTAAGTTCCACATACACCCACCACCACCCAGCCACAACTTGCACAATGCACCGCTGTTCTTTACTCCACATTTCGGCGAAACAGGCGTTTCAGAGCACTGCGGTTCAACCTTAGGTGTTTCCCAGCAAGCCAGCATATCTTGATCAATGTGGCATGGCACACCCAAGTTAAACTGCACATGCAGTCAATGTTTTGCCCAGACACATGTTCATTTTGAGCTTCGTATTCCACAACCTGCAAACTCTCTCAATGGAGTAGTGAGTACCCTGGGATATATGAACCTGCCTTAGGCGTCCACACTTCATTATCCAACGGCATCGACGAGAGGGATGCGCTGCAAGATAAGTTCCTTACAGCAAAGGTACAAACAAACACACCTGTAGAAATAGAAAACATGCATGCACAGCCCATTCGCTCATGGCAAGGGTCTCTTGACCCATTGCATGGAATCCTCATCAAGGAAACAATGCACGTATCTTGCGTTCGAACCTTGGATGGATGTGTGCAACCCTTCTTAGTCCCCACCCCTCGCACTTTGGAAAAAATCAAGGGTGATGAAAAGACGAGACTGTAGATCGTTTGGCATTCCTGCATAGAAGGCACGGTGCTTCAATGTATATTTCAAGATATGCCATAGAGCCTCACCAAGGCACCAAGTAAATGTGGGGTACGTTGGTGTCTTTTCTTTGCATAATATACGCAGCCATGAAGCGTGAATTTTTGGCTTGACGTGCCACTCTTGTTTGGAAAGCCTGGCATCAAGTCTCATGCGTGCCGCAACACACACATACAGGATTTGCACCTGACGCTCAGCTTTGCCAAAAGAACATGGAGTCGGATGTAGGACATTCCTTCACCATGAATGGCTTCAGCCTCCCCAGGTGTCCTCAGTGTTTCCCTACTATTCGAACAACCATGGTTTTACTAAGGATTTGTGCACTACACCACCAGATCAACCAGTCAACCGTTCTTTTATAATGATCTTTGAAGGGCGAGCACACACTAACATCAAGACAAGAAGCAAAAAGCGACCACATCTCTCCATCACTCCAATCATCCGCGACATGTGCAGCCTTGATGGAAAGGCAGATGCAAAGCATTGAGGAGAGACCGGGTGGAGTCGGTTGCAAGGTGATTGCATTTGAAGTTATATAGTTAGTAATCTGGAGGTTTGGAGACAAGCTGCATAGCCAAAGCTTGGACTGGAAGTCTATTGTCTTTCACAGTGTTTTGAGGGTCTCGAACAGCATCCGCCAAGCAAGCAGTGAGCCAATGCTGCACGACTCTGGCATTGTAGGCTTTGCAGGATAAAGATATGTCCCCATTCGGCTGGTGCAACTTAGCAACAACAAAAACACGAGCAAGGAACAAACGCGAACTGGCACAACTGGTCCCCAGAGCACCAAACCAAGTTTTATTCAGGTTTTGCTTCTTGCATATTAGTGACCTGACGAACCCGAAATCGAGGCTGCGAGCATTGGATCCGCTGCGCTTTGCAAAAGGCTTTGAAATGAACCCACGCTGCAATCATTTGGTTCCGCAGGCTCTCGTGTTCTGGGGTTTGGAAGTAGCCAATGTTCAAAAGCGTTTTCCTCAGCTTACAACAAAGCAGCATCAAAATCATTCGGACAATTCTCCAGACTGCAAGCTGCAGTAAAAGCAATTAGTGCAATTAACTTGACTTGCTGAACAGTGTTAAACTGGGCCAGTTTCAAGGATCCGCCATTGATGGTCATCAACAGTCCAAGATGAAGAACATGCATCAAGCACCACCGAACAATGCTTGGATGCCAGTTGTAGAGCCCAATGTACGGACCTTGGAACTTAGCCCTGATAGGAAGCTAAAAGGTCAGCCGTTTTCATACCAAGTATACTTGCACTAGTAGTAAACAATTGTGGAAACACGAATGAAGCTCTGAGTGTACCGACAGACATTGTCATCTGGCAACATTCGCGCTATGATTTGCGCTTCTGAAAACGGGTTGTTCTCCCACTCGGCAGTTCCTGAGAAATTGTAATACCTGGCAATCCAAGGTCCATTCGCTTTCGCCCCACAAGCATGGCAGACCTCCAAACCTTGCCACCTCGCACGGAATTGAAATGTCTTCCGATGCCAAGCCCAGTCTCCACGTAGTTCTGTCACAGTAAATGTTTCAGATCCAGGGCACAGCTTTTGCCCAGCAAACTTTGATAGGTTCTCAGAAAGAGGACCATGTGGCATCCACGTCGGGTGGTACCCTTCATAGGCAGCGTTGCACGACCACACAATTTTGCGTAGCACGCAGTTTAATGTCAGCTGTCCAAACAAAATGCGCTCAGGGATACAAAACATGAGAAACCGGCTTGATCGGCAAGATCTAGGCCGCCATAGGGGGAAGCTTAAGGACAAGCTCGCGATGGACTCAGATCCCACTTTCAAATGAATCGTCACGCCATCACCGTACAAGCCAATTGGAATGCAAGTGTCTCCAGCTTTACTCCACAGCGCCCAAGGTTCTTGATTTTCTCGAGATGTTTTCCAAAAATGTTTGACAGCGCTTTTGGGAATGTTGAAGGAGGTCGATCTATAAAGGAAGCTGATGATTGAGTGTGGGTACATGATAGGCCAGGATTCAATACGGTAGAACGGGTCTGTGCTCTTGGTCCTCTCAACCTTGACAGGGATGTCAATGTACTCCATCCTGCAATCCTTGCAGTGGGGATAGAATTGGTTAAATAAATGATATGGTGTGACTGACGCAGCTAGACTTGCAACTTGAGTAGCCATCAAGTCAGTTTTCATATACATTTAATAGTCAAGGTTCGACGCCATTGTCAAGAAGACGCCAAAAATCTCGAGCATTGTTCTTTTCGGAGATCAGGTTCCCTAGCCTTGCTGTAAGAGGATGAAGTCGGTGGGCAGGACCACAGTCCTTGGAATAATGCATTATAATTTATATACTCGTCCCCATTTCGCACACAGATTGGTCGATTCGATGTGTATCTCTTACTTCATTTCTGAAGTCTTCATGGCAATGCCAAGGAGCTTGGACGTGGGCCTTGATGTTCTTCATCGCTTTGCGTACAGAGCCGCCCTCAGGACAATTTTGGGAGGAACTCTCAACAAAAAAAGATGCGTGCATGCATGCAAGTCGATGCACACCGAACATGATGGAGAGCCGAGTGTCTCCACTGCTGACCTCATCAATGGCATTGATGAGCACACGGGATGTTCTGGCATGATCATGGCCTGAAATTTGCGCACGCTGATATACATGATCTTGTTGCTTCTTAATTTGTTGAGCTCAGATTTGCATGTGCAGTTCGATCAACTTTTGATCATAAGCAAGACACGAAGTAAACAACTGAAGCGGATCTCGATACATGTTTTTCCCCAGAGTGAATAACAGAGCTTGGTATGAAGCCGGGGTGGGCGTGAGTCCACACACACCTCTAAGGCTGCCATCTCGCACTCAAAAGGCTGTGTGTATTCACACAACCAAGCATCAAGACTATACCCCAAGAACAGCAGTGTGTGAGGCTTTGAACTGCGATATTAAAACAACTTTCTGAGGTTTCCTGCGATATCACCTGCAAAGTGGACATCAAACCTGTTATAGCGCTATGTCCGTGAGAGCTCCCACATTCCCGCTGCATCCCAACAAAATTACAATCTACTTCTTCAATAAATTATTTGAAGTCAGAAACTTGTCGTAGTCAGCCAGCATGGTCTTCGTAGTTGCGGTACATGCCTCCAGTGTGTCCTGCTAGGCATGGTAAACAGAGTTGATTTGTTTTGCTTGCAGGAAGATGCTAGCAAAAAACTTCATTGTCTACATCAACATCCACACGTGCTATACATGCACATGCTCCTCCATGCAATCGTACTTCTTCTGAAGCACATCCCGCTGTTTGCACATGCGGCTCTTCCAATCCCGGATCTCAGGAATGAGTGCCTTTTGCAAGTTCGCGGACCTGGGATGTGGAGGCTTGCTGATGAGATGGAGTGCTGAGTTTTGGAGGTTATATGAGATTGTGTGATGTAGCATATGTTTCAATAATCTAGTGAGCAAATATGATCAGTGGTTTGTTGCTATGTTTTACCTCTTCAAATTAATGAGAAAGAAAAACAAACCGATGGAGCTGGCTGAGGTCAAAGCATCTTGTTAATCAAATCCTCCTTTGTGGAGGTGCCCTGGATCTTGTTGGTGATCTGGTTCAGAACCTGTGAAGGCTGAAAATCTAACACCACCCCCTTTAGAGGAAACAACCCACCTGTTTCGATTTGCTCAAACGCTCGCGTTCATCCTTCTTTCTTTTCTGTTCCGCTTCCTTTTCCTGCTTCTTCTTGTCTGCCTCCACCCTCTTAAGCATCTGGGCCTCGGTTTCTTTCCTAGGTTTCTTATTTTTCTTGCCGTGTTTCTTCTTTCCGTGTTTCTTGCTCTTCTTCTTGGCATTCTTTTTGCTCTTCTTACCTCCTTTCCTCCGTTTCTTCTTGTCCTACAGGCAACTTTTGTGTT